CTTGATCGTCAATTTACTTTGCCTGTTGATGCCGTAGATCACGCGTGCGCACGACTATATGCCTCACCCAAAAGACGCTGTTGCAGTGCAGTAAACTTTTTCACAGGATTATGGACAAATATGCCCAAAAAATTGTGTCACCTTAATTTTGCTTCAGACGCACACGCGAAATGCCTTTGTTAAACCCGTTTGTTCTATTATATCTATCACGCACTTCTTTTTACAATTTGCAAAATTAAACTTGAGTCGTCGATTTGAAATTTTATTATTGTGCAGAAAATTTAGCTCCAAATTTAATATTTATTGTTTTAGATGAATTTCGAATGATTGTTGCTGGTTTTCACAAACTATAGAATAGAAATATGACTTAAAACTCCTAACAAACAGCACAAAGAAATTCAATCATAAATTCCAGTTGGTGTCAGACGTTGTTTGTGTACTAGGGTGAAGCTTGAACAAGAATTCGCCTTTTACAGATCTTTTGGTCTTCGTTTCACACTATTTTTGCTTTTCTGCTTTGCGCACTTTTGAAACTCGAACAGAACGAACGACACGATCAACAACAGCAAATGGCTTGATTTCAAGTATGCAACTGAAAATATCCAATTGGAAATTTTTTACCAAGTTAGCAAACAAGATATTTGCTAGCTTTTAGTAGCTGTATCGTTTCAAATATGTACACTCGTTTTACAATTTGTTAAGTATAATTTTCACAATTTATATTTAGAACTTATTTTTAAATTTAATAAACGTTGTTTAGCTGCCACGCGATAAACACCAAATAACAAGTCGACTATCAGACCAGCACAAAAGAAAGACTGAATAAAAGCAACATTGAAAGCACCAACCAACTGGAGTCGCTCCAATTGCCGCTGCTGGAGCCATAGATCAGGGTCGCTTTTTGTAGGTAGGTAAAAGTGATGAATATTGAAGGTGCAAATAAAATTGCGCAATAAAATATTGAGGTGTGTTAAAATATTGATATGAATGAAATAATATTGCACAATAAGTATCTAATTTAATTCTACGGAAAGTTTTATTTATGAGAAAAAGGTAAAAAAATCCCTTGCTGGCCGGCTCTACAGTATAAATTTTATTGCTGTACAGCTGTCATTTAGGTTGCCACATATATTTGTGTGAGAGATTTTTATATCTTGATATAAGCATTTTTAAGATGACTTCTAACAAGTATTTTTGCCGGATTTAATAGCTTAACAACTTTTGATAATATGCTATTTCACATCCAAGTTCATAATAACAAATATTTCAATAAAAAAAAAACAATTCAATTTCTGCTTTTATATTAAAATATCAATAATGTTGCCGCCACAAAGATTTCGTGCAAATGAAAATGTAGCTGTCAAACTACCAAATTGCTGGCAATAGATGGCAAGATATATGTAAGCTCTGATATATATTGCTCTTGATAGGCAATGAGCGGTCTACATTGGTTAGTTATATTTATATTTATCAAGATAAAAACTTTATCATGTGGAGACGGGCAGTTACATTATATATATAACAAGTATTGAAAACAAATTGTTTTATTGAATTCAAGTCAAGGCGAAGTTGTACCAAAAAAAACTGTACTATGGCATGGATGGTTTTTAAACTCGTTTACAGTAGAGCTCCTAAAATATTGATTTTACTTTCTTAAAATTTCTAACTTTTCCAAGCGCTAAGTTTAAAGGAATTCTGAAAAAGTTATAATTTGGATTAGCATTGCTTAAAAAACTTAGATTTTTAAACATACTTGAGTTTTATCAGCATCTCGGAAAATACTATATGTTGTGTACCTTAAAGACCCCAGCGTAGAGTATAGTACAGCAACCATTCACGGTGTCACATGTCATCTACTACTTATCCTTCCTACATATATCCTTTTCCGTCATTGAATTTCCAATGCAGCTGCTAATTCGGTCATCGTTTTGCGACAATGAAAGGCGTTGGACCTAAAAAGAAAATTGCATTTCCGCACGTATAAAATCAAAAGTTTAAGTGAAAAGCATTGCATTTTATAAGCAGTAAGAAATGCAACAATTCAAACGGAAGTTATAACAAAAGTGTGCCGTTATTAAGATTCATCTTTTATAGTGTGTAGTATTTGTGGTGCATAACTGTGTCTGTCTATCGGTCGTTGGTGCTAGATGGTCACACAGCAGGGGAAAAAAGCTCTTTCTAAAAAGGATTTTCTATAAAGTTATTGAAAAATTTGAATCCTTTGCAAAAAATTAGCACATCCCTCCGCTTGCACGTCGCATACCGTACGCCATGCCTACTAAATTGCCTCATCACTACCCCTGAGGCGTTGTTGTAGTGAAAAATCGATAAAAGTTGCTGTATTCGAAATGCCGGTGATGCGGGCATTCTGTCAGACAGTCGGCCAAAAAAATATCGCATTCTTCGTCATTCATCGACCGAGAATACGAAGCAATAACAACAAAAATTAAACAAATAAGAAAAGAGTACAATGAAAGAAGTGTGCAATAACAACTAAAAACAAAAACGAAACGGAACATATGTACGTATTGCGAAAAGTAAACAAAAAGAATAAAAATGAAAGCAAATAAATAATGAACGAGAGAAGTGACAGCGAAGTGGGTGGGGAAGCTTTTCCATGGCATTGCATTGCATTTTGTCGTCCCTAATCAATTGCATATAATACTTAGAAGTGGTACAATGAAATAAACCGTGAGTAACAGAAAAGAAAATAAATAAACCGCAATGATACTTAAATGTGAAGTGTGTGTAGCTAATGAAAATGACAATCGTACCATTTTGAAACATGTAATTTGTGTTTGATATTCAATTGAGATATTCATACTTTTGTATATAACTGTGATATATTATAATTTAAAGTATTTCCTTCCACAAACCAAAAATTAAATGTTTAGTTTTAATGGATACATGAATACTAGATAAAGTATTTATAGCAAAATATTAAAAAAATAACCCAAAAATAGCCACTCAATACAGGAAACTTCGCAAATTGGCGAAGAAGAATTGGAAAGAGTCCAACATGCAAACACTTCGTAAAAAAACCAGCCCCTGTAAATGTAAGTATACATGCAAACTGTTTTTCAAATATAGGATAAATTTCAAGTGCCCAACTACATATTGCTCTTTTGGCATAATCCAAAAACTCAAAATCTCGGTTTGAAAGTTTACAGTTTACGCTTCCATAGTAAAAATTAAGACACAGTTTGTTCTAAGTCTGTGTTTATACACGGAAACTTTTGTCGACGCAATTTTCCATATTCCCTTTTGGTATTGCTCGTTTCATTTACACACGGCGATTTTGTACACCACCTTGTATTGATGCGCTTTGGTATGGGCTGTTTTAGCTTACGCGTTAAAGCACATTCAGCTCATTTACCTCTAAATGCTACTCTAAATGTACATTTATCCATACAAAACTGGTCACTTATACCATGTTCTGACCGACATCAAAAACATGTTTTCGTTCCTAAAACTGGTTTTCGACCTAAAACTTGTGTTTTCGTCAATGTAAAATTTGTCAAACGAAAACAAGTTTTCGCTGCAAACCACATGAACGAAAGACACAAGATCACGTAAGAACAAGAGAGTGAGAAAAGTCGATTTTTTTAGCGGGTTCTACGCCATCTTGTTTCACTAGAAAACGAGGGAAAAGTAAACAAAGCAAAGAAAACAACGAAAACCAAAATTAGCCAAAATTGTTGTCAGCCACTTTAAACGCACAATTTAGGTAAAATGATGCAACAAAATGCTTTAAAATGTGTTGTCATGTTGAATTAACTCTTCTTTACTTGAATAAATATGTGAAATAGTGGTGCTTGTGATGTAAACAAACGCTCAGCTGACGTAACCGCTTTCGCAAACTTTTTTCTCAAAACCAGTTACAAATACATCGTCGCGTGCTTACGTGATCTTGTATTTTTGGTTCCTGTGAAAACCATATGAAAACTCACGTTCCACTTATTCCAATCGGTGTCTGCACTAGTTTTTTTCGATTATTTATCGAAGTGGAAGTCATATTTTATCATTTTTAATACGCCATTTCGGATTTATTGTTAATTGGCTGACCAAAATAAAATAAGCATGGAAGTAAAAGGTTGTTAATGAAAAGAAATTGAAGGAAAAGTATTTTGGTTTTGTATTTGTGCAGCAAAACTGTAAACAAAGGATGTAAGAAATGTCAACGAAAACACCAACGGTCGGTGTGAACAGCCTTCAGCCCACAATCCCAAAACTCGTTTTCAAGGTGTTTTCGTTCTCGGTCAGAACATTGTATGAAATGCAACTCCATTTTTTGCATTAAGAATCTAAATGCTAAAAGCGACCCTGTGATCTTCCAAAATTTCCACGATTCAAACATAGTTTAATGAGGAAAAGTAGCAACATTGCTTTTTCGAGTATACACCCAGCAAAAAACACGATTACCACAGAAGCGAAAGTGGAAACGAGCTAGGCGATGGGAATCGCTTACCCTTTCGCTTCAGGGAGGCCTTATTTTAACATGGGCATGTCATTGGCGGTAAGCCCTTACCCGCAGCATTACCTTCAAACGAAGGGAGAACGCATGCATAAACAGAATCCAGAGAAGCGAACAAAGAATGCCTTACAGAGAAACTAATGTAGAATGCCCAGATGAGTACATACTTATTTACATATATTAAATCAGAAAATGTGTTAAAAGATTAAAATTAATTAAAATTTATATAAATCAGTTTTTATACATACATATGTATGTATTTGGGGATTTAGATTTTACTTAAAAATCGGTAAGTACATACATGCATATTTAATTAAGCTTAAAATTGTACTTCCTCACTCATGTACTTGACTTCATTGACTGACTTCAACTTCGCTGCAAATTGAACAAAGCAAAACATGATTTTTATGCGAGACAAATTTCCACAGAAACTAACGGTAGAAAAAGATTTTTTGGATATCCATTCTATTTTTCAGCTGGCTACGATGTAGCATTCTACTTTGCATTCCCTGAAATGAAGCAAAGAAGCGAAATAAAAAAAAAATATTGTAGGACATTCTACTTTGCATGCCCTGAAATGAAGCAAAGAAGCGAAAAAAAATAAAATGTTGTAGGACATTATACTTTGCATTCCCTGAAATGAAGCAAAGAAGCGAATTAAAAAAGAAATATTATAGGAAATTCTACTTTGCATTCCCCAAAATGAAACAAAGAAGCGAAATAAATAAAATATTGTATGACATTCTACTTTGCATTACCTACAATGCCTAAAAGAAGTGAAAAAATTCGAAGGCATTACAACGCTATGCCTTCTAGAACACGTTACCACTAAAAGCGATTACCGATTTTTTGCTGGGCAGTGGCTAGCTGCGTTTCAGTCACCGCCGATCAAGATTTCATTTAATATTTTACATTATTTGGATAAAGAAAAGTTAAGCAAATTCAACATCGGTGTGATGCTGATAGAAATCTGGATCAATTTGTGATCAACTCTGTTTGTTTTGTTTCCTAATTAAGTGAGGAAATCTTAGTTAACAGCACCGACAAATAAATATATACGTAGACAAATGTTCGATTATAATGCGACAGCATGAACGCTCTTCGAAAACATATGTTCGAAACATGAACGAAAGACACAAGATTACGTAAGAACAAGAGAGTGAAAGAAGTAGATTTTTTTAGCGGGTTCTACGCCTTCTTGTTTCACTGGAAAACGAGCGAAAACTAAACAAAGCAAAGAAAACAACGAAAACCAAAATTAGCCAAAACTATTGTCAGCCACTTTAAACGAACAATTTAGGTAAAATGATGCAACAAAATGATTTAAAATGTGTTGTCATATTGAATTAACTCTTCTTTATT